TTTTCCACTAGGATATTACTAACTGATTTGAGTTGGCTATGTACTGTATCTTTTCATTCAATTCGTCGGTCACGCGTCACAGAGGGGGTTGACGGCGACGAACTTTGGTTGTTGTCATGCGTCACCGAGGCGGTTGACGAATACAATTTTTGTCACGGTGTGCCCAACAAATGGCTCCAAAACCATATAGAATCCGCAAAAAATCACCTCGTGGGTTCAGAAGCTGGAAATTGAGCCCCGAAACCTATTTTCGTCAGATTTTCCTCGCGGAAGACAATTTCCAGCCAAAATTTGAACCAATCAAGGCGCAAAATCTGCACAAGTGGCGGTATCAGCGTGTATGGAGTGCACAAGTTCAAGGCAGTGCGAAAATGGTCAGAAACAGATTTCTGAGGTCCCTGTATCATTTGAAAACAATCTGAGGCTCTGACGAATTTTTGCTCCTTGTCACGCTCATTCTTGAGATTGACGAAGTAACGAATTGGTTCAAAGTGTCACGCATCACACCCCCTGTCGAATTGAATGAAAAGATACAGTACCTCACTCATCACCCTTAGATCACAAACACTGTTCCCAATGCACACTGATGTTTTCTCACATAGGGGCTAATACTATTGTATGGATATTACTTATTAAGAACGCGAGGCTGGGCGAGATTTGGTCTCCAGGTGCAGGGCTGGAGGGAGGACGATGGGCGTGAAGAGCAAGCTGCGCCGGTTGATCCGCCAGCCGATCAACACAGCCACTGCGGCAATCTCTTTCTTCTCTCATCTTAACTTTGCGCGACTGGGCCATGAGCCGGCGTCAACACCTAGTTCTGCGCTCCCCGCCCATGTCGCGGTGCTTTATGGCCGACGCAGGCGATCTACCTGGACGGTTTCGCCGGGTTGCAGCTCGGCGTTCGGTGTGGTGGTGAGGCGGGCTACTCGTGGGTGGGGGATGATCGCTGTACGACGCGGAAACACCACTAGTCTTGCTTGACAGTCGCCTAGCATACCTCTTTTCGCAAGCTCCCTATCTTCCCTGGCCCCGGGAACACCTCGACATCGGCCTGGCCGGAGCGTAGCGCCGGTGGAATGAGAATATTGTCGTGCTATGGAGAGGAAAGACGCGGTACGTTCCCTTCCACTTCCCTTTGTGCTTGCGCTGATTATGTGTCAGCTTTGGGTCTGAGCGTCGACGCTCTCCCTCACCCCGCTGTGCCGAAGCACCTGCTCCGCTGGCAACGTTAGCACTCTCGCCATCATATGAAAGTCCTGTCCGCCATCCATGGTTTCCGATTCCTCGGTCTGCACTACATCCTTAGCATGGCCCTTCCCGTTGTGCTGGAGGAGGAAGACCAAGTCGGCACGTGGCATCGGCGTCGCGCGATAGTCGAGCATCTGCACGCACCCACGGATGGTCTGGCACGGTGAGCCGAAGCGGGGTAGCCACGGTGGCATCGATGCATGGCGCGACCCACGCAGTGTGGGGAGAATCTCGTCGCTAGCGCCGCGGAATCGACTTCGGCTCCTGTGTCCCGCCCCCGTCCTCCCACATCCATCGACGGACAACGAGAATGGCACCATCGTCTGATGCATTCAATTCCCTGCTTGCTCGTCGCGGTTCCCAGCAGTGAGTCCTCTTTAAGCAAGCGTCGACACCCGCGCCTGCTGCGAGCACTTCGATGGGCTCGGTGGGGGATTGCTAGTCGGCTGCCTCCACCCCGCGCGGCTACACTTTCGCCGCCTTTTCTGCGTCCTTGCTCGCGCGATACCCTGTCTTTACGTCCTTCTGGCACATGCGATGCGCTGTGGGTGGTAGAGCGTCGAGGGTTCGAAGAGGCCTGAGTGGTACGTAGTGAGAGGGAGAAGCTGCGAGCCATCTGCGCGGATCGCTCATCGTGCGGCCCATCCCTTGCAGCGCTGCACTCGTAGAGCATCATGAGCGGACAAGGATGGGAGGCGGGGGTGAGGGAACTGGGAGCGCGTGCGCTACGCTCTCAGAATGCCACTGTCCTGGCCTTCGTCGTTGTGAATGCCCTTCACTTCGCGACATCGACGAGATATTTATTCACGACCGTCCCTTGTGTTATTCTTGTCCATTTTCCTGCATACATAGATTCGTTGTTGTATACCAAGCCACCTATTCTCTATACGCCCATCCCACGGCATCCATTTTGTTTACTCTGTCGTGATCGAGATTTGCTAGTTGTCCCTTGAGTCCTGATTCGGCAAATATATTCCCTGATTTGGCCAATCGACTTGCGGGGAGAGCACACACACGCATATAGTCCAGAACATCGCTTCGATTCCCTCTCGATTGCTGCTCGCGCCTTTTTGGTACCGCACTGGGAGTGCGCAGTGAAGCTAGATTTGATGGGAACTCTAGCAATCGACTCAACACTGATTCTGCACTAAATCCAACTGTACTACTAGTAATGCGCTTGTTAGACGTGCTATTTGCCAACGGGCTTTTGGAGAATATATTATACTGGCGCAGTCCCACAATTGGAGCAACCAGTGTACTACGAGGACTTAGGTAACTCCTTGTAGGCTAAAAAAGCTACCGTATCTTTACGTAGAACACACGCACTACCAAAGGGGGGCGGAAAGATTAAACATAGCTTGATCTTCCCGACCTGTTGTGGCCACAACAGGTAGGTTGGTTGTACGGCTATAACTGTTGGCAGTATATATGTACCAGGAATCTATACCAAGCCAACTGATTTTTTGCGCTCCGTTTAAGTTCATGTTGTTGGTGGAATGAAATACCGTGACGCAACCGGGTTTGGGGCAAAGTTGGGCGCAGTTATCTTACACTCTCCAAGGCAGATAAGACTTGGTATTTTTTGAGCAACAAAGATCAGTTCTTAGCCCTCAGCGCTTCGGCAAAGATACAGGATCCGACGCCTCCAGTGTCTTCGGGTGGGCTCGAACCACCGACTCTGTCTGAACTATGTACATCAATGACGGGGAGTGGGTCTATACTCCACGAAGGCTTATCGTTCCATCTGGTACGTTGGTCAACTCTACGTCTCCCCGCTCCGAGGTGAAACTGGGTACTGGGTAGTCTGATAAATTTGGAACGAAGGATTAAGGTATGTTGGATCTTCGTTACTCATTTGGTGGGTATATAGACCGTTGAAGGTACCGGTAGTTCGTGAGTCGAGCGACGGAGATTGGCAACACATCTAGGAAGATGGAAAGTCAAAAATTAATTTCGGTCTCTGTTGTACACACAGGAAAAAAGAAACAAACCGTCATCGCCTCGCATCCGTACGCCGGGAGTCGAACCCGGAGCTCCCGCTTCAAATGTCCAATGAAGTACGGAAGATAGCGCGGGCGTGCATGCTGCACAACGTCCTGTTGTTTCCTAGGGTAAGCAATGGCGATATGTTGTTGGAAGGCTTATTCGGACGCCGGGAATCGAACCCGGCTCTCCCTCCGGAAAATAATTATCCTCAAAATATGGAAGGAAGGGTGTGCACTACACACCACGTCCGAGTATGAACAAAGCGAATCAACCAAGATGAGTAAAACGCAAACGCACTGAGAGAAGGTTTGATTGAGCCGCGGATGGTATTGGTCTTCGAGCGCTGTACCTGAGTTGCGAGTCTCAATCGCCCGTGGTGGCGTCCGCATCTCGCGGTATCAGCCGTCGTACCCGCAATGCGAGACTCCGGAAATGCTGGGCACGGTGGGGAGAGTAAGATCGATCGAGTCCTCGAGATGTGTCAACGCAGGTGTGCATGCGAAGTGAGACGTGAATGAGAATGAAAAACTCGCGGAACGTCATCTGCTTCACACTAAACGGGAGGGCGAGGTGCGACGATGAACTTGAATGTGAAAATATTCTGATTGGAAGATGATGTACATTTTAGGGACTTCGTAATATACTAGTTCGTGTTTTCAAAGGCAGGGTGAGTTCCTGGCTTTGGACGAACGAGATGAAACATAAGGCATACCTGCTACAGTTCGGATTCTCTCGCTTCACCGCAAACCACCAATCGCGCCTGACAAAATCCCCACCGCAACCACAAACAATGCGCCAACTACACCGGCGCCGCGCATCTGGTTTCGATGCGCGGTGCCCGTGGAGGGGCTCGTGGATGGGGCGGCGCCGCTGGTGCTTGCGGAAGCGGTGACTGAGGCCGAGGCCGATCCACTGGATGTGGATGAAGGCAGCGCGGATGACGAGAGACTGATGGGCGGCGGGACGATTGTCACGCTGCCGGAGCCGGAAGGCGAGACGGTGGGGCCGCCTGGAGGGGAGACGCTGACGCTGACGGTGCCGGTGCCAGATGTGGATGCGCCGGATGCGGATGCGGAGCCTGGGACGAGGGTTTGGGCAAGTATAAGCGAAGTGAGAGTGAAGGATGAATCACGCACCCGAGGCTGAATTAAGCATACATGAAGATGAATACAGTACCAATCCCGATGAATAAATTCACGCACCGAGAGCACACATCTGCTGTATGATATCGCTGATCTGGGTTTGCAGCTCAGGCGAACACGACGTCTGCCCCGCGCACTGGATCACGCTCGGTGCAAAGGAGGTGTTGGCACACAGGCACGCATTGTCGGTCCTAAAAAGTATATATATATATAAGACGTCAATAAAGGCGGACGAATCCACCATCCACCAAGATGAGACACACAGAGCGCATTGGGCCTGGGTTGCAGCCTCTTCTGCGCAGCCCAGCGCACAGTCTGGGAGCGCCGATATCTGGGCTGAGGCAGAGGCGACCAAAAGCAAGAGAGTAGTCGCTAACGTTGAGAAGGTCATGGTGGACATGGAAGAGTAGCCTCGGTGGAGCGCCTCGTTTCCACGAGAGGTCACGAGAGGTCACATGGTTAAGTTTGACGCGGACACGTGATGGACACGTTTGGATCAATTAACGAGTCGCGCGTACTCGGTGGGTGCCGCTGCGAACGCGAATGAGTCTGCGGAACACCTATTTAGTGTGTTCTGAATCGACGTACAACAAACAAAAAAAAAATCAACAGCCCACGACATCGTCCGGGCGCGGGGAGTCGAACCCCGGCTTGCTGCCAGTCAAACAATTAGTCGCGTTCATTTCCCATTAATCTGGGCAGCCGTGCACCATGCACCACACCCGAGCTGAAGATTGGACTTGGGTATGGTGTAAATTGAGATGAAAAGAGCTGAAAGTAGTTCAGTTAAAAGAATTGAAGGCCCGCAGCTTAGACGCCAGTCTCGATACGTAAATCATGTTCACCCCAGGTAAGGTCGAATGTGACAACGCACAACCACGCCTTGACCAACCGGATAACAAAAAGGTGAAGGCCAAGAACCGATTCGGGCACTGGCAATCGAATCTAGATCTGCTGCAGTCATCGATGTAGTTCACAATCAAGGGAAAGAGCTGTGGCCCGAGTGAAACGGGGGATTATTAAAGCTCCGACATTGCGAGTGAAATACCAGGTTGTAGAGGAGTTATTATGAATCCCACCACCACGTCTCGGAAGTCTCGACAAACCTAAAAAGAAGAGACAGAGAACACATTGCTTATTCGGTCCCGGAAGTCGAAGCGAACTCCAACCTGGAAGAGAGCGCGCGCGCAATGTAGCAGAAAAGGAAAAGGAATATCAGTGGGGAAAACGAATAGAAGGGGGAAAAAGCATCACATAGCCGGCAGGTGAAGGGAGTCGAACCCTGGACTGCTGGGAGCATAGAGGATTTTTCCCCATTTATTCCACGCAGCTGTGCGCCGCGCACCACGAC